GAAATAATATTGATTATCTTAATAAAATTTAGAGTAATTTTAATTTGTTTTTTTGTCCAAAATTGTCCAAGCATGTCTAATGACAACCCTGTATTAAGAAGTGCTGTTGTGGCTTGTAGGAAGGTTGGGCCTGTGTGTTTAAGCATCTTATAGCTAATTCCAGAGGGCCCACAGGCTTTGTTATTAGGTAGTTGGCTGAGAGTAGAAAGAACCTCTTCCTGAGTTATGGTAGAGAGTGCTTCCTGGTACTAGTCTTGTTGAATGTGAGGTTGAGGGTTGTATTCTGTTTGCTATTTAGTGTTAAATAAGGTCTTATCAATTGAGCAGGTTGCTGTCTAGTCATTGAAGTGTCGCTAGATATGTGTTTTGATCATAGTGGGATCTGTAATAATGTCTTGGTTTAGTTTGATATTTTCAAACTTAACAGGGTCTCTGTGCTAGTTCAGAATGCTGTTAAGTATAAAGGTTGGATTGGTTTGGAGCTTGGTACATCTTTTGGAGATTGCCTCTGTGATTTGGTGTGTGTTTGTTGTATGTTTTCTAGGTTGCGTGAGTGGTATAGCTTCTTCCATTTAGTATTGGCTTTGGTTATCCAGTTGGTGTTAGTTGTGAGAGAAGGTATTTCTAGATTGTGTAGTCTGTTGAGGTCTGCTATTGAACTGTTTAGATGAACTGGGGTCTGTTGGTTGGTCTTGGTTTTGGTGTTTTACAACTCTAATTATATTACCAAGCTTCTTGAGGCTATGGTGAGCTGGATAGCCTTTGGAGAGAAAGTGTGATAGAAGTTATGAACTGTGAACTTTTTATTGAGAATATGCTAGAGTGCTACTGTAATAAGGCTAGTCTGGATTTTGTGCTATATAGTTTCTAGAGACTCTAATGTTGTGGGTGTAATGAGTTTATTGTGATGCTGCAGATTTGTATTGACTTGGTTTGCGAAATTATCTCACTTTTCTGAGTTCATTGTCTTGTATTCGAAGACTCTTCTTTAAATACGGGTTTTGTGTCTTTGTTGTCTAGTGGTTGCATAGAGGAAGAGCCAGCGTAAGATTAAAATCTTGTAATCACTTTGAGTACTAGTATTGGGATCATTTATATCATATTCTGTGAGATATTGCAGTATTGGTTGGTATGCCCAGATGAAGTTAATTTCACTGCTTAAGTTGGCTCTGCACCATATATATGTGGACTTGTGGGAGTGTGTAGCTAGATCATACATATTGTTAAAGACAAGAAATTGAAGGAGTTTGTATCTAATTGACTGTGAATGGATATTGTTGGTAGATGCATTAAAGTCTTCTAGAGTTATTGAATAGATATTAAGTGCTTTGGCATGTTGTAGCCACTGGATTATAGTGTTCTGTGTTTGTAGTCAGAGGTGTGCCTTGTTGCTAGGGAGGTAGAGAGAGATGATTCGGAAGTTAAAATCATGTTTGAAGAAGAGGTCGATGGCTATAGTATATCCAAGTATTGTGCTAATATTATGAATATGTGGGGTGAGTTATTACAGACCATAATTGCTATTCCAGCCGTTAAGCTATCTGCACAAGACCAGAAGTAGGTGAAGAGTTGGGTTTTTAGGTGCTTTTGGGACATTGTTTTGTTGGACAGTTTGGTTTCTGAAATGCAAACTATGTTTAGAGCTTGCTGTAGGCAGTAGTGTTTTTATGTTTCTTTTTTGGTATTTGTATTAAGGCCTTGTCATTGTGTGTACAGATTAAGAGAGTTAGTGGGTGTAGGGTGGGTGTAGATTGGGGGATATTAGGATAGGAGGTATTTAGGTTTAGTGTATCATGTGTAGGGAGGTTAGAGAGAAAAGAATTAGTGGTATGTTGCATTATGAATTTAAAGTATGTCTATTTGGTCGAAACTGACCAATGGGAGTGTTGGTGGCTATAGTGGAAGTTATTGTAGCTATGGCCTCTGTGGGTTCAGTGATGAGTAGTTCTGTTGTAGTCATGGTTGTGTCTATGTCTGGAGTAGGTATGAGCATTGGAGATGCCTTTTCCAAAGCTGGGGTATTACTTGCGAGTGAAATTATAGTACTGGGAGTATTGGGGTGCTCTGTAGATATATTGTCAAATATGCTCCACTTGGGTGGAGGGAGAGGTGGGAGTTTTAATAGGGAGTTAGGGATTAATTTGATAGTGTAGTGCTGTCTGAGTACTTTCATTGTAGGTGTGATGTCGGGTTGGTTCTAAATTGGTAGAGAGATGATGACTTCATGTTTGGCGAGGTCCTTAATGATTTCCTCTATATCGCTGGGGATGTTAAGAAGATTTGGATTGGTAATTGATTCAGTAGTACTTTGTAGATGGGCATTTTTGATTTGGATCTAGCTAGTATGGAGCTAGATAAAGTAGTAGTAGTAGCTTCATAGTAATTTGGTAGTGGCTGTGAGCTGTTGTGGAGTAGTAATCGGCAGAGAGATATTGAAGCTTTCAAGAACTTCCTCAGCCGTGGGAAGGGAAGGCTTGTTGGTAAGATTCGCTTGCATAATTTTGGGTAGGAGAGGATACTGAATTCGGTAGTGTGTAGAAGCTTGCTTGATGAATTCTTTTGCTTCTGCATTATTCATAATAGGAAAAGTGAATTTCATAGTAGTTTTGATTTTGCTAATATCTTTGGGCAATAGGAGTTTAATAACAAAGAAATTATTTGGTAGGAGTTTGAAAGTATAGTATTCTCTAAGCACAGTGATAATATCTGTGAGAGGAATCATAGAGGTAGCTAGGTTGAATGGAAAGTATTTTCAAACTATGGAGTTGAGTTCTTGGTAAGTTAAAGAAAAAGATTCTTGGGGGTGGGAGTTTGAAGTAGGTATTGGGATTTTGGTTTCTGTGTAGTAGTTTGCTAGTTTTCTTTTATATGCTGCTAGGTGCTAAAGAAAGGATCGATGTGAGATCGGAAATAGCTGGCAAAGGCTAGCAGGGAGAGTACTATAGTGTGAAGGTAGGGAAGGAAGTTTAGTGAAGTAGGTTGCTGGTAACTCTAAAAATTTGAAGATTTTTCTCAGAGCATTGACTATTGCTCTTGTGTGTAACCATTGTATAATTGGAAGCTTAACCGGGAAAATATTTTGAATTTCTGTGGGGATTTGGTCAGGCATGTCTGGAAGTGGCATTAGTTTGCTTTCTAGTACATTATTGATTTGGGTTTTAATTTTTTTGGGGGTCTGTTCATCTGGGTTTTTGATTTGTAGGAAGCCTCTGGCATACTGAATTACTCTGTATATTTGCCTTAGTGGGATGCTTGCAAAGTTGAGGTTAGAGATATATTGTGAAATGAGTATCCTCTTGAGCATTGTGTGGATAGTATTGCGGGTTGTAGTGTTGGTAAGTGTAATTTCGTTATCTTTTTTATATACTGTAAGAGCTCTGTTAAAGAGGTTAGAATATTTTTTTTGCTGTGCGGGTGTGGTTTTGGGGTTGTGGATAAAAGTTGTAAAGAATCTAGTATCACAGTGTACAAATTTTAGAAGGATTGCTTCTGGCAATTTAAATTAAGTAGGTATAGTAGTTAGCTTGTGGCAGGTAAGTTTGTATATGCCTTCTGGGGTAGTAAGTGCGGTTGTGATAGCATCGTATATCTAGATCTCTGTATTGAAGGGTGTAGAAATTCTGCTATATATGATTGTGGCCCATTCCATGTTGTTAGGGGCATCAGTAACCAGTAGAGTTGGGCAAATTGCAGTTTTTTCAAAAATTCCATACATCACGCACAGATCACATGTGTGATTCGAATCCCACGTGGGATAGGATTACAAATCTATGGGTTTCTTAATTTTTTGTACCGAATAAATAACTATGCAAAAATTATTATTAAAAATCAAATTTATTGTTCTACTATAAATTTTTGAAATAGGGGCATGGGCATTGTTTTGATTTTTGGCCTAAATTAAGCTTAATTTGGGTCAAATTCGATATTTCGAGAAATTTACGGTAAGTATGTCAATGCAGCCAGTTATTATATTAATGCTAGTCAGATAATATGATAATACCAGCCAGATAATTTTACCTGGGATTATATTAAAAATCCCGAGTGGGCTCTAAAATAATCCTGTGCATCTTAGCAGAATCGCACGTGGGATCGTGCATAGATCACACATGTGCCCATATCTAGTAACCAGTAATTTGAGGTTGGTTTTGGTGACTTGGCTATATGATAATTTGGTTGTAGGAGCCTGGTTGTTTGTAGGGAGTCTGGAGGTAGTAGAGGAGCTACTAGGGAGCACTTTGACAGCCTTGTTAGAGGTTGTAATTAATGGTGATATATTTCAAGCTCTTTTATGATTGATACTAGCATTGGGTGTGGTAATTTGGCCTGGAGGTGTGCTAGATCTAGGTGTAGAGTGGGTAGTAGTAATAGTTAGAGGTCTTATCATGTCAAAAAATAGATATTCGAACATTCATTTGTTTAATTATTTATTATTCAAATATTCATTAAAAAATCTGAATAAATATTCAAATATTCGATGAATATTCATTAAATACTGATTTACACGTGATCAAATATTTATTTGATCAATGATTGACCGAATATTCAATGAATATTTTTTGTGGCTTATATTCATTGAATATTTATTTAATCAACGATTATTCAATGAATATTTTTTGTGGCTTAGGTTAGAACAAGAACTCTTCGACCCTATCGTTATAATATTTTTTAACCTCTTAATATAACTTGTTTGCTATTACAGTTATGTGTATCTTAATGTTCATAGAATGGGATCAAGCTACTCAGATAATACTGGTGCAAATTTCTTATAGAGCTAAATATGCATTTGCAGATGACTTAACTATTTAACTTTTAAGTATAAATTTTAATTTAAATTTATTTTTTTTAATATATATATATTATATTTCTAACATGTAAATGTTTTATTTTAAAAGATGTCACTACCAAAATTGTAGTACAAGTTTTTTATATTTAATGGTTTTAGAATCTGGCAAAAACTCTATGCATAAAAAGAGTTACTTAATATAGTAATAATCAGGTTATAGAGACGCATAATTTTCATAATATAGTTATTTACCTCTTTAAGATATTTATTTGGTGTAAGTTTTATCAAGTCACCATTATTTCATTTTAAAAACAACATGTATTCAAATAACTTAGGCTTCAACATTATTCTTCTAATAGTCATCGTATTACTTGCATCGCTGAAAAGTCATTCACTTGGAGTTGAAGTTGCAGGTATCGTGAGATATTGCTTTGCAAGCTTGTTAAGAACAGGAAAAAAGATTTTTTGGGAATTTAAACAGTTAAAAGGGTCAGATTTATAATAGATTTCGGGTAAAGAAAGATAATTATCAAGCTCATCATTTAACTCTTCAGAAGTATTTTGCATAAAAACTGTCTTAAAAAATGTTTTTTGATAAATCTGACGTTGCCCTTCTTGTTTGTCTTGATCTTCACGAGGGCTAAAAGATTTATTAGATGATGTTGAGGCTTTATAAAGAGATTTAATTTCATTATATTTATTGCGAAGGGCAGTCTCAGCTTGGTGTCTCTGGGTTGGTGTTGCAAGCATCAATTTTTTACATCTCGGATCAAGGAGGCAAACAAGAAATGCATCACCATCAGATAAGTCCCAATAATGTAAAAGCACACTGTATAGTGCATTTTTAATCTTATGCTTCATATTTTTAGTATTTGTAGGTGTATTTATATTAATCTTTCTTTTTTTAGGGCCTTCATCTTCCTCTTCCTCAGCATCAATGAATTCAATGTTATTATCGAATGCTAGGTCATCTGTTTCAAAATTTACTTCACTTAATTCATCATCAGTATAACTTGTAGAAGTAGTTAGATTTCTCATTAACCCCCAAATAGACAGAAGTTTATAAGAAATTGTAATATATTTGGAACCACCAAGCTCCTCCGTAGTTTCAAAGAAAGGTTCTAAGATATTAACAAGATCTCTCATTAAATCCCATTCATCGTCAGTTAATTGAATTTCTTTTAATCTCTTTGCATCTTTTTGGTCTTCTGGTGTATTTGAGATAGTCAATGTTGTTACAACAATATCGATTGCATCTTTAATTAGTAAAAGGCACTCCCAAGCTAAAAAAGATGAATTCCAACAGGTTGGCATATCTATTTTTACACGAAGGTACGTGGAAGTTTTTTTAATTACCTATTAAAAAAAAAAAAAAAAAAAAAAAAAAAAAAAAGAAATAATAATAATAATAATAATAATTTATTTATTTATATTTATACAAAGAATTAACAAATTGTATTACATTATTATCTGAAATTTTTAATGTTTTTTGAGCTTCTTCGAGTCGTTCATTTTGCTTTGGCGCTATAAAAAAATTAATTAGTCATTTAGCCCTTACTACAAATGTTTCAGCTTGCATTAGGCCTTTTCCAACAACAAGTTGTATAGTGTGAGTCGCACATTGAATTCTTATAATATTAGCCATTCTGTTAATTGCTACTTTCATATTCAATCTGTTATTAGTTGTGATCAAGTGTATTTTTTCTGTAAGACCCCAATTAGCAATTATATTTTCTAACTTTTCTTGAATAACATTAGCAGTATGTAGATATCTAATATAGGATAAAGAAAGCAGTATTTTATAGATTTTGAATTCAGGATCAATTCACGAACAGGTGATGCCAAGATACCCTTGCCTGTTGTGACTCGTCCACAGGTCTGTGGTAAGTGAGCAAGTTGTGGCAGCATTTTGTAATTTTTTCTACATATTTTGGGCACACTGATCATATATTTTATGAATTGTTTGCTTTACACTTTTTTCATTGGGAATATTAAACATTGGATCTAATTCCTTTACGAACTCACAAAAAAATTGGCTTGACACAAGACTAATCGGTTGGGCATCACAGATAATAAATTTAATGAGAGTCATAGTGAGCTTATTATTCTTCGATTTGCTATGAGGGTATGTATTCTTTATGAATGAGTCAATTTTAGTTTGTGTAGACTATGTGAAATAATAAATAAAATTAGATGTTAAATTTTTAGTTTAATTATTAATTTAATTATTTATTTAATTATTTATTACTTTGCTGTTGTCACTGTCTGGTCCAGATAATCCAGGCCCATTCTGTGTAATACCATAAGCACTTAAGAGGTGGGTTATTAAGTTTGATGTCGAGCCACTTGAAGTTTTTAATTGAATGTTACAATGTTCTTTATCTGAATCATTTAATACTTGACAAATGGCATATGTGACTTCAATATTAACTTTTTGTTTATCGAGGTTTTGAATAGGTTCAATCATTTTTTTTTCTTTGAAGTTGCTTCATACCCAGCTTCATTTTTTTAAGCCACCTCTTCGACCAACCTTAGTTTTTTTAATAGTAGGCATATTAGGGGTTTCATTATCACTTTTTGCACTTGTGCTTCTAGTTTCGGAGTCTGGGCTATTTGATCTTGTAACGGGATTTGCAAATGATTCAAATTCCTTCATTGTATATCACTAATAGTGATTTTTGGTTTAATTAATCAAGAGCTTTACAAGATATAGATAAAATGAGTTAAAGTTATATTTCGAAAATAAGTACTAGATTTCTTTATTAATTTCAAATTCTTTGGTTTTATATTTCTGAATTTTGACAAATTTCACTATTACTGATAATTACTATTCGTTCAGATAACATATGCATGTGCATATGTTTATGAGTTAAAATGAGTTGAATGCATGAATCAGAAATAAATATAACTTCATATTTAATTTAATTTGTTTATATGCATAATCAGCATGAATATTTTCCCTTGGGCATCATATCTAATTTGCACAGATAAGTTTTTTATTCTATTTTAATACACAGTATTCTCTATTTACGGTTTATACTATTTCCTAATTCTTTATCTTACTGCCATCAATAATTTTTTTTCCCTAGTTCCCCAAAGAATTCAGTGATAACAATGATATATGCTGGGGTTTTTAACTCTAAATTATGTATGGTGTGAGAAATATAAAAGCCTCAATCACTTTACATAGAAGAATATATTGAAGATAAGCTAAATTCAGTGGCAATTTATTTTAAGCTTAGCAGTAGCATCTTCGATGCATTATTCTAATGCAAAGAGATTGATTCTTCACTTTATTGAGATTGTAATTTAAAAAATTTATTTCTTTGAGGCTTTTAAATTTCTTGCACTATAGCTTTTCCAATATTGCTATAAAAAGCTTGCTTAGGAAATTTTGATGCTATATTACAATTATTGACATTGTTAGAACAGCTAATCATTATTTACTTCCACAGATATGAATGGTTCATATGAACATTCTGGCGTGATTATTGATTAATGTAGAATTATTGTTGAAAAGATCAGATATCTTTTATCAAAAATCTGTAAGTAAGAATAATTTTTACAAGTTGGCTATCGTTATTATAATGCATTATCAGAAGTCTGCTGAAGCAAATAGTGAATTTATGGAATCGTTATCTATTCCAAATATAGGATTGATACAATGGTGATTTAATGAATTCAAAATTAGCTTCTGAAGTTAGTGTTTAAATCGATTAATTGATTAGTTAATCGAGTTAGCAACTAATTAATTGATAATTTATTAGAAAACTAATCAACGATTAATCGATTAATCGATTAGTTAATTAATTGATTAGTTGACTAATCGACTAGTTTGTTTTATATGGTATCATACTTTAATCTTGTAATTAGTGGCTATGTAATCATATCCAAGCCATTTTGATATACAAACTAATCAATTAGCAATTAATCAATTAACTGACTAATTGGTTAATATATTAGTTGACTATAATCGATTTATAATCGATTTTTTAAAAGCTTTTGGCCAACTAATTGATTGCATAATTTGTAACACTATTCTGAAATGCATTATATATTTTATCAACAGTCTGGAACAATTTATTGTTTTGTTTAAATTGTTCTTAAGCAACTTCCTTATTGTAACTCGCTAATGATTGAGATTTTCAATCATATTGGCCAATCAAGAGTAACTTATGAAAAAAAAAATTGATAGGTCAAGTTTTTTGACTAAAATGATTAAACATAATCTCTTTTTTTTACCTTATTAGATTATTTTATTAACTAGAGAGGGAGGTGCTTGAGAACA